GGGACCAATTGATGCATCTTAGATGGCCGCTTGCAAGCTTTTAAGACCCCAGACGCCACTCACCAAAGTAGGATGCAGAACATTTTCTTAAAAAACTTTGTTAGCCAATTGACCTAGATGTCCCCTGAAACCATGGTCCTTAGACCACCGCCCCTGCTGCTCTGTCCCTGGAAATGTTTGGTTGTATTCAGGAAACTTCTTAGCTTTGGTGTAGTCCAGTTACGCTGACGTCCCCTATAGCATGTGCTGTCCTTCCTTTCACCTAAGATAATCCTTGTCTACTATCTAGTTAGTGAATACCCCTCTGTCTCCCTCCCCCACCTTGTATCCATCAAAGAATGTTTTCTTCTGTGTTTAAATCTTTTCTTGAGTTCTTATAATAGTGGCCTTATACAATATTTGTCCTTTTGTGACTGACTAAATTCACTCAGCATAATGCCTTCCAGATTCTTCCATGCTATAAGATGTTTCACGGATTTATCATTGTTCTTTATTGTTGCATAGTATCCCATTGTGTTAATATACCATAATCTGTTTATCCATTCATCTGTTGATGGGCACCTAGGTTGTTTCCATCTTTTTGCTATTGTGAACAGTGCTGCAGTGAACATGGGTACGTATATATCTATTCGTGTGACGGCTCTTATTGCTCTAGGATATATTCCAAGGAGTGGGATTGCTGGATCGTATTGTACTTCTATTTCTAGCTTTTTAAGAAGCGTCAAGTTGATTTCCAAGGTGGTTGTACCATTTTACATTCCCACCAACAGTGTATAAGTGTTACAGTCTCTCCACAACCTCTCCAACATTTATTATTTTGTGTTTTTTGGGGTGAGATGGTATCTTATTGTAGTTTTGATTTCCATTTCTCTAATGGCTAATAATCGTGAGCATTTTTTCATGTGTCCGTTAGCCACCTGAATATCTTCTTTGGCGAAGTGCTTGTTCATATCCTTTGCTCATTTTTTAATTGGGTTATTTGTCATTTTTGTTGTTGAGGTTTTGCAGTATCTTGTAGATTTTAGAGATTAGACGCTGATCGGATTTGATGTAGCCAAAAATTTTTTCCCAGTCTGTAGGTTGTCTTTTCACTCTTTTGGTGAAGTCTTTTGATGAGC